TCTTTTAGATCATCCAATCAAATTTTAAATCTAGAAGAATACACCAATAACAGAGAGCGCTCATTCAACTGTTGAGTCTGCTGAATGTAGCCAGGATGTTCAGCCGTAATCGGATAGCCGCCATCGGTTGCCATGTACTTTTTTTTACAATGTTCTTGCCGACACACACATACACACACACACGCACGCACGCACGCACGCACGCACGCACGCACGCACGCACGCACGCACGCACGCACGCACGCACGCACGCACGCACGCACAAAAAAAAACACGCACGCACGCACGCACGCACGCAAACTCGCAAACAGGTGACGGCAAGGGGAACCACCTGATCAAAGCACCCCGAAGACAGGTAAATCCGACTGTGCGACCTCCGCGGGGTGCATGTTGGATGACGCTAACGCCAGCGGTATAACAGACTTTTCGAATTAAACAGCTTTTATTCCGGAATGGTATTCGTAATCTACAACGCCAAAAGTCCTCAAATAACAAGTTTCAACAAAATCCACTCAAAAATAACTACTTTTCCCCTACATAACCTCACTTTCCGCATAATCCTGATGTGTTACAGCAAAATGGGTTCTGGTATCGATTTTAGCGATCAAAAATTTACAAGAATCACCTTCTACTATCCCAGTTGCTCTCCGAAAATTTTTATTATTTAATCGACTGTGAAACTGACCAATCACATTTGCTGTTTAGTAGAACCATCTTTAAAAACCTATGTGATATTATTCTTATTTAATTAATTCTAATGACATGTATCATTTGTATAAAAGAGATTTGATATCAATAGTCGGCGCCAAGTTAAATTCTAATCTTTAAAAACCTACGTAATATTATATCCTTATTATTTACTTAAATCAATGACATGTATCATTTGTATAAAAGATTTGATATCAATAGTCGGCGCCAAGTTATTCTACCTTATTACTTACTTAATTTTAATGACATTTATCATTTGTATACAAGATTTGATATCAACAGTCGGCGCCAAGTTAAATTTTACCAAATTAAAAAGTAAAACACAAGTGGTACCTTTAA